CAGAGTTCTCTGTTATATAGAGAAATTCAGCTGTGTTTTGTAAATTAATTTTGTACCCTGCCATTTTGCTGAATCCTTTTATTACTTCCAGTAGTTTTCTTGTTGAGTCTCTGGGATTTTCTATGTATAGGATCATCATATCATCTTCAAATAGAGATAGTTTTACTTCTTTGCCATTTTGGATGCCTTTAATTTCCCTTTGTTGCCTTATTGTTCTGATTAGGAAGTCCTGTGTGGTGCTGTAGGAAAAATACTGGATTGTTAACTGCAAGGTTGGCAGTTCAAACCCACCAGCCACTCCTCAGAAACCCTAGACAGGGTTGCTATGAGTTGGAACTGACTCAGTGGTACTTAGCATCAACAAAAAAAGGATTCCAATACAATATTGAAGAGGGCATCCGAACCTGGTTCCCATTTGCAAGGGGAGTGGTTTCAGTCTTTCTCCATTGAGAATAATGTTGGCCATGGGTTTGTGCACATGCACTTAATTATATCTTGAGGAATTATTTGATTCCTGCAAGAGCATACATTTGGAACCATCCTAACTATCCAACAAGTGGACAGTGTTTGAGTAGTTTACCTTATGTCCATACTAGGAATTTACGTAGACATTTATCTGGTTTTGGAATAAAATTTAGTGATGCAGATAAATAGTCATATGTTTTTAAAAGCAAAATATGAAATCATATGTTAGGTGTAGTACCAGTTCTGTAAGTCCTGAAGCTACAGTGGTTGAGTACTCAGTTGCTAGGCTGCTAGCTGACCAGTTTCTAGTTGAAACTTGCCTACCATTTCTGTGTGAGAAAGACATGGTGATCTGCTTCTATAAACATTATAGCTCTTTGCATACGCTGGTGCGTGGGTTCAGTGTAAGCTGAAAATCAATTCAGTAGCACCTACCAACATCAAATATGTATATACATAAAAAGGATGATTCTACAACATAATCTTAATAGTGCTGAGATTTCAGTATCTCTGTAAATAAAATGGAATTTATAATAATAAACGCACACTTAAGAACTTGTAGTAGCCTGCCCAGGAGGATTTTATCTTCATAAATAAAGAAATGCTCAGGTTTGTCATCTATAAATTTGTTCAGTGTATTACACAGTAGCCTTGGCTAGGCATGTGTGTAAAACCTCAAGACATTTACTTAGAATTGAACATTCAAAATGAACTATTGCAAATTGCAATGTTAGTTTAAATATTAGACAAATCTTTGGAGTTACTGTTAATGAGTGGTCTCTAGGAGGAGAGGTGCCCACCCCTCAGTTTCAAAAGAGAACACCAGTGGCTAGGGTACAAGGTTGGTTGTGATGAACTGGGTGTCAGGCAGGCTTCTTAGTCTTCAGATGGAAGTCAGAGAAACCGTTTGTTTCTGTCTTCTACGAAAATGAGCAAAAATCTATTGATGTGTATATCCTGTGTGTTGTCATGTTCAACTATAATCAGATGTTTTATTGTCAATTAAGAGCATTGTTGTATGACATATTTGTTGTTCTGTTCTTAAGTGACATCGAGTATGTTCTGACTCATAGCAGTCCTTCTCCCGAGAAGCAGTTAGTGGGCTCGAACTGCCAACCTTGTGGTTCACAGCCCAGTGTTTACCCTAAGAGCCACTTCCCTCCCTGCCTAATACTAATTAACCATAAAAAAAAAATCCTTAAAAATCTTAAATTCAAACTGTTCTTTGAATAATATTCATTTAAAAGTTGGGGGTGGGTGAGACATAAATGTAGCCCCAGCCACTGAAACTCAGCCTTCCTCCATTCCTACTTCATACAAGCCATTTTTCTTGTAATTATCCTGAATATCAACTTACGTGTTCAGCTTGACAGCATCAAGAAATAAGAGTCATGTATCTGTTTCAAATACATTAAAAGCTCTGGGTGACGAACAACAAGCTTTGATTATGGATGAGTTTCATCTTTGCTCATTTCAATTCACACACTCACAATACTGGAGGAGTGTCTAGGGTCTGCTTCAGTTTGATCACTTGATTGGGTGTAGGCTTCTTGTCAGAGAATAGAGCCTTTGCTGGAAGTGGGTGTGCGGTTCCATGTTCAGCACTCCTGAGTCCGGGGGAAGCCTGGGGCTCCCTGCATGCACTTATGCCCAAGACAGATGAGACTTTCAAAGCTAACATATTTATGTTTAAGATTTATAAAGACTTGAGTTATTGCCAATTAATGTGACATGACATATTTTGTCCCTGTTTACTATGTAAGATTTTAATTAGAAATCATGGATATTTTTTAGTGACATAGGTGGTAGTGATGGTGGTTTTGTGCCGTGGAATTGGTTCCGACTCATAGCAAACCTGTACAGGGTTTCTGAGGCTATAAATCTTTATGGGAGCAGAAACCCTCATCTTCCTCCCACAGAACAGCTGGTAGTTTCTAACTGTTGACCTTAAGGTTTGCAGTCCGATTTGTAACCACTACGCTACCAGAGCTCCTTAGTGACATATGTATGTTTTGTTAATTTATAGGGATGTGAATAATGTTACATTTCAGTGTAGGTGCAGGACCAATTTCAGAAAGTTATTTACAACCAACTTTACATATTTCTATTATCTATTCTCAAAGAGCCCTGGTAGCATAGTGAATTATGAGTTGGGTTGCTAACCACAATGTCAGCAGTTCTGTGAAAGAAAGATGAGAGTTCTGTTCCATAAAGATTTGTTATTGTTGTCAGGTGCCATTGAGTCGGAACCGACTCATAGCGACCCCATGCACAGCAGAACGAAACAATGTCCGATCCTGGGCCAACCTCACTACCGCTGACACACTTGAGGCCATCAATGATGCCACCTGGCCAATCCATCTCATTGGGGGTCTTCCTCTTTTTCTCTGACCCTCCATCTTACCCAGCATGACATCCTTCTCCAGCGACTGTTCTCTCCGGACAATGTGTCCAAAGTAGGAGAGACGAAGCTTAGCCATCTTGGCCTCCAAGGAGCACTCTGGTTGTACATCTTCCAAAACAGATCTATTGGTTCTTTTGGCAGTCCACAGCACTTTCAGTATTCTCCTCCAATACCACAAATCAAAGGCATCAATTCTTCTACGATCTTCCTTATTCACTGTTCAGCTCTCGTATCCATATGAGGTTATTGTAAATACCATGGCTTGGGTCAGGCGCACCTTAGTCCTCAAGCTGACATCTCTGCTCTTCAGCACTTTAAAAAGTTCCTGTGCAGCAGATTTGCCCAATGCAATACGTTGTCTGATCTCTTGACTGCTGCTTCCGCGAGTGTTGATAGTTGATCCAAGAAGAATGAAGTCCTTGACAACTTCAATCTCCTCTCCATTGTAAGAATGCTGTTTACAGAGTCAGAAGCCTTATACAGGGCCAGTGTAAGTTGGAACTTACTCAGTGGCACATGACCACCACTACCATTATCTTTTCTCAAGGAGCCCTGGTAGCATAGTGACTACGAATCGGACTGCTAACCTCAAGGTCAACGTTTCCAAATTACCAGCAGTTCCGCAGGAGAAAGATGAGGCTTTCTGTTCCCGTAAAGATTTACAGCCTCAGAAACCCTATGTAGGGTCGCTATGAGTTGGAATTGAGTCCGTGGCACACCACCACCACCACCACCATTATCTATTCTCAAGGAGCCCTGGTAGCGTAGTGGATGAAGAACTGGGCTGATAACCACAAAGTCAGTAGTATGACTCTACCAGTTGCTCCATGGGAGAAAGAGGAGGTTTTCTTCTCCGTAAAGATTTACAGTCTCAGAAACCCTATACAGGGTTGTTATAAGTTGGAACTGAGTCTGGCACACAACCACCATCACCATCATCTATTCTCAAGGTTTGGACAAACTATCTAATGGCTTATAGTTAATGGTTAAAGAACATTATAGAAATACATATGTTTCTAATTCTAAGTTTAGAATTCTATATTTAGAATTCACTTTGTATATACATAGGTGTTTAAAACCATTATAAAAACACTATTGTTATTGTTAAGTGCCATCAAATCAGTTGTGACCCTGTATAGGATTTCTGAGGAGCTGCTGGTGAGCTTGAACTGTCGACCTTGCAGTTCAAATAGCTTTGTAGTCTGGTGCAAAGCCACAGTGCCATATCAGGACTCAAAAAAAGAAAATAAATGATAGAGGTGTAAAACTATTATAGAAGCACACATCATAGTGACACATATGCGTTTTAACAACATTCTAGCAGCAGATGTGATTTGAGAGAACACAGCATGAATGTACACTGTAATGAAACCAAAAAGGACTAAAAAGGAAAATACACTGTTTTGCAGCAATGTCGGCAGTTCAAACTTACCAGCTGCTCCTCAGAAACCCTATAGAGGGTCACTATGAGTCAGAGCCGACCCAACGGCACTTAACAACAGCAACAATCTCTAAAGAAACTGCCATCTTTAAAATTTTATTTTATTACCTTATTGGAGCCCTGGTGTGCACCGTGGGTTAATGTGTCAGACTGCAAAGTCGTTTGAACTGCAAGGTCATTGGTTTAAACTCACCAGCTGCTCCTTGGAAACCCTATACAGGGCCGCTATGGGTTGGAATCGACTTGACGGCACTTAACAGTAAATAATTTTTTTAGCATGCACCCCAAATCTGTATATTATTTCTGAATTAGATGTATATTGTCAGTTACTATTATAGTTGTTAAGTGCTGCCAGTTGTTAGTAGGTTCCAACTCATAATGACCCTGGTTTCCAAGGCTTTTAAAAAACAATCTTTGCAGCAGCAAAGTATCATATGTACATATAAAGTCTTTAAATAAATAAATTTAAATGTATCAATATAAATGGACATTCATATATTTATTTCTTTTATCTAGTAGATGATTTTGTGTACTCCATGATTATTTACCGTCTACTCTCTGGAGCACATCTCAAGACCTAGATCTCAAGACTGCAAAGAAATAACAGAAAGAGGAAAATGAATAAATAAAGTACATGGTTTCTACCTTCATACAATTACTTTAAATTTATTTTGTTCACACTGTAAATAGGGCATAGGATGCAACATTTGAGTGAAGGAGCCAAAGGTCGGCAAATGGGAAGTGGAGGTGACGGAGAACGCTGGGGTTCAGACCGAGGGTCACGAGGCAGCCTCAACGAGCAGATTGCTCTAGTGCTCATGAGATTGCAAGAAGACATGCACAATGTCCTTCAGAGACTTCATAAACTGGAAACACTGACTGCAGCGCAGGTGAGTTTCTAAGTTTACCTTATCTTCATCCAGCTGTTGATCTGGTAAAACACTGTATAATCTGTGCTGGTAAGATATACACAAACAAGTATGTGTTCATGACTTTAAAAATGAATTAATTAAAATGACCCACTATTGACACTTTTTATTATTTTCTTCAGAAATTATTATTTCTCAAAAGACTATCCTAAAACCGACATACCTAACTTTTATGATAATATAAAACTTTCAGAGTGTAAAACTAGCTTTGTCATATTGGAGGTAGGTGTAGGGTACTTACTATTAGAGGAGCTGTTAAATAGAACAATTTGAGGAACTAGTGCCTTAGATTCCATAACTAATGTCCTAGAGTTATTTGTTTATAGCATGCATTGCCTTTTATCTTCTTTTTAAAACGTAGAGGGAACACATTAATTTATTAATTCTTTAGTATTAACCAGAAAGGAATTTTTATTTTATCTTTTTACTTCTTATTATGAATTGAGAGATGGTTACAGAGCAGATCATCAGTCCCATATTCACAAATCATACACTTAATTTCATTACAGTGATTACAATCCCCTCCAGGTCCCATCAGTTAATAATGTTTACCTGTGGGCTAATGCGTCAGACTGCAAAGTCATTTGAACTGCAAGGTTGGTGGTTCAAGCTCACCAGCTGCTGCTTGGAAACCCTATACAGGGTTGCTATGGGTCAGAATCAACCCGAAGGCACTTAGCAACAAGAACAACTACTCAGTTTGACTCTTTCCTTCCTGTTTCTTCCTTTACTGTCATCTTTCCTCTGTCTACATCTTTTTTGTATATTGGCTTCCCCATTACCCAAGTTAACATTTGTCTACTCTTTATCCAATGAGTAATTGTTCTTTTCCTTCCA